ATAGTGATCTCCATACTAAAATATAAGTATATTTATGAGTATATCACACCAATTAAATAACTTTTAAAGAGTTTGAAGTAAATCCAAAGGATTATTTTTCATCAAAAAAACCAAAATTTTCTAAGTATGACGATAAAACTCATACTATAACCCTATCGATAAAACTAATACTCTAGCCCTAACTATAAAACTAATACTCTAGCCCCTAACTATAAAACTAATACTATAACCCCTAACGATAAAACTAATACTATAACCCCTAACGATAAAACTAATACTATAACCCTAACGATAAAACTAATACTCTAGCCCTAACTATAAAACTAATACTCTAGCCCTAACTATAAAACTAATACTATAACCCTAACTATAAAACTAATACTATAACCCTAACGATAAAACTAATATTCTAGCCCTAAACTATAAAAATAATACTATAACCCTATCTATAAAACTTATAATATGTAATTCAAGTGACTATGCGAAAGCTAAATCCCGTGATGGTCATTCATATTCTGTGCCAAATTTGAATCTAAGTTTATTCATAAAGTTTTTTATAATATTTGTTTATATCAGTTTATAAAATGCGTTTTTTTTATCCTTTCGCAATTTGAAAGTTCTTTTTTGTTTTTCCAAGCTGGGAGGAGGTATTATCTTGAAAATGTTCAAAAACACATCCCCATAGGTTTCCAGAATTTTTTCAAGACCTTTAGATCGGAGGTTTAAGTTAGGATTAATAAATTTTATACTCTTTGAATTTCCAAACATCTCTATCCATTTGTATACAAAATTATTCACTTTAGATTTTCCAATATTATAATACTTTGAAAATGCATCGTAAGCACTCATTTCGTGTAAATCTTGGCCTTTTTGCATATATCCAGGTTCAATGAAACTATTATAAAATGATCTGTCAAAGATATGCAAACAATCATCCAATATCGGTTTGAAACTAAATAAATAAATGATAAATTAGATATATAAAATGTCAAAATGAAAATCTGAAGAAACATACCTTTTTGATGACATCAAAGCTATTACAAAATCTTTCACCATTGAAGCAATTAATAAATGAATTAAAAATTGTTCGCTTTCTTCAATTTGATAATCTTTTTTATAGATTCTATGTAGGGAATCATATAAAATTCTTACATGACTAATTTTATCAAACAAAGTTTGAGTATTTTCATCAGTATTGTGGTTGGAATCATTATTATTATTACTTGAATTGTTATTATTATTGGTATTGTTTGTTTCATGGATTTCATTAATGAAATTGTTCGAATAACTTAGTCGATCGTTAGGGTTGATTAAAGGGTTATTATAATTCTTATTATTATTATTATTATTATTATTATTATTATTATTATTATTATTATTATTATTATTATTATTATTATTATTATTATTATTATTATTATTATTATTATTATTATTATTATTATTATTATTATTATTATTATTATTATTATTATTATTATTATTATTATTATTATTATTATTATTGGGATCACTACTTGAATTATTATAGGTATTGTTATTTAAATTATAATTATTATTGTTCGATTTGGTATTTGATACATTTTTTCTTT